TCAGACAAAAGAAAACAACTTTAGAAGCCACATTCGTCATTTCTGTTATCATCTGAGGGTTTCAGCAGGCAAAAAAAGATAACTGGGCAAAGTAACACTTGGTTCAGTAGCAAGTTATCTATAGGAATTTGTTCATTTCATCTAAGACACCTAATTTGTTGGCATTTAATTGTTCAAAGTATTCCTTTATAATCCTTTTAATTTCTGTAAGGTTAGTAGTCCTCTCTTTTTTTTCCCCCCTGGCCAATCTAGCTAAAGACTTGCCAATTCTGTTAATCTAAGGAACCAACTTTTGGTTTTGTTGATTTTCTGTATTATTTTTCTATTCTCTATCTCATTAATTTCTGCTCTGATCTTTATTAGAAAATATTGTTATTTTGGTCATCTTTTTATTTATTTATTTTTGGCTGCATTGGGTCTTCATTGCTGCCTGTGGGCTTTCTCTAGTTGAGGCAAGCGGGGGCTACTCTTCGTTGTGGTGCACGGCCTTCCCACTGCAGTGGCTTCTCTTATTGCGGAGCACGGGCTCTAGGCACACAGGCTTCAGTAGTTGTGGCAGGCGGGCTTCAGTAGTTGTGGCACGTGGGCTCAGTAGTTGCGGTGCATGGGCTTAGTTGCTCCGCAGCATGTGGGATCTTCCCAGACCAGGGCTCGAACCCATGTAAACTGCATCGGCAGGCAGATTCTTAACCACTGTGCCACCAGGGAAGCCCCAGTCCTCGTCTTTGAATGAACGTTTAGATGGGAAGAGAATTCCAAGTTGACTTTGCATTTTTAAGTTATTATTCCTTTTGTCTTGAGCATCTGTTGTGGTTGATAACAAGTCTGCTGCCAGTCTAACTTCTTTTATAAGCAATCTCTCTGGTTGTTTTTAAGATTCTGTCTTTGGTGTTCTGTAGTTTCACTACAGTACATCTAGGAGTGGTTGTTCTTTTCTTTACCTTCAATGAGTTTCTTCAGGTAGAGGATTCATATTTGTCTCTCATTCTGGAAAACTCTATCTTTATATTGTCCATAATTGTGTGGCTTATTCTATTTTAACCTGCAGGAACTCCTATTAGACCTTCTCATTCTCTCCTATATCTTCTTTTCCATAGGTCCCATTTATACCTGTGTGTGCTGCAATCCAGTTGATTATTTGTTTCTCCAGGGCTCTGGGCTCTCACCAGTCTGGACCAATCTTCATGGTAATTTGTCAGCATGTGGTCCTTCCACATGCTAATATGGATTCAGGCTGCACACACCTGTCTGTGGCCCAAGCTTGGGGATTTCTCATAAATGCCTTTCATCTAACTTTCTTGCTCCTGCCCCAGGATGGATGGTTGGCACGGACCTTCTACTGTACTCCCCTTCCAGGCTCCAGCTCTCTTCATCTAGGAGAATTCACCCCAGCAATCCTGTACCTCATAAGGTCTAAGGCTACACCTTCTATCCTTATCTGAAATAAAAAAGCTCAGTGCTCCTGTCCCTGCATTTTGTCCATAACCCTGGGATGCCGTGTTGGCATCAACTATAACCACTCTGGCTTCCCTTTCTTTCTTGTGCCTCAATATTTTCCCTCCTTCCTCCTCCCCCCCCCATCTTCCTCTCTTCCCTCGTTCCATTTCCTGAAAAAATCCAGCTACTTAACATAAAAAAAATTTTTTCCCCTATTTCGGCCAACCTTCGTCAGTATGGTCAGCTCAAGTCTGCCGTGTTGCCAGAAGTCTCCCATACTCATTCTTTTTCTTTTTTTGTGTGCCGTGCAGCTTGGGGGATTCTCATTTCCCTAACCAGGGATCCAGGGATTGAACCCCAGCCAGGGCAGTGAAAGCGCCGAATCCTAACCTCTAGACCAGCAAGGAACACCCACACTTACTCATTCTTAAAAATATGTATGTATTTTTTAGAATAGCTTTAGGTTCACAGCACAGTTTGCAGAGGGTAAAGATTTCCCATATACGTACAGCCTCCCCCATTATCAACATCCCCCACAAGAATGGTACATGTGTTACAATTAGTGAACCTACATCAACTTATCATAATCACCTAAAGTCCCAGTTTACATCAGGGTTCATGCTTAGTGTTTCACAGTCTATGGGTTTACACAAATATATAATAACATGTATCCACCAATACAATATAGTACAGAATAGATTCCTTGCCCTAAAAATCCTCTGTGCTCTGCCCATTCATCCCTCCTCTCCCCTCACCCCTGACCCTTTCACTGTCTCTATAGTTTTTGCCTTTTCCAGAATGTTATATAGTTGGAATCATACAGTATGTAACCTTTTCAGATTGGCTTCTTTCACTCAGTAATATGCATTTAAGTTTCCTGCAGGTCTTTCCAATAGCTTGATAGCTCATTGCTTTTTAGCACTGAATAATGTTCCATTGTCTTATCATACCATAGTTTATTCACCTACTGATGGACATCTTGGTTGCTTACAAGTTTGGCAATTGTGGATAAAGCTGCTTTAAACATTCATGTGCAGGCTTCTGTGTGGACAAAAGTTGTAAACTCATTTAGGCAGATACCAAGCAGTGTGATTGCTTGATCATGTGATAAAAATGTTTAGTTTTGTAAGAAACTATCGAAGTTTCTTCCAAAGCGGCTATACTATTGCGCATTCCCTCAGGCAATGATAAGTTCATGTTGTTCCACATCCTCACCAGCATTTGGTGGTGTCAGTGCTTTGGATTTTGGCCATTCTAATAGGTGTGCAGTGGTATCTCATTTTAATTTGTAATTCTCTCATGACATATGATGTTGAGCATCAACATATGATGTTCAAGCCCTGGTCTGGGAAGATCCCACATGCCACAGAGCAACTAAGTCCATGCGCCACAACTACTGAGCCTGTGCTCTAGAGAGCCCGCGAGCCACAACCACCGAAGCCCACGCACCTAGAGCCCGCGCACCACAACGAAGAGTAGCCCCCGCTTGTCGCCAACTAGAGAAAGCCTGTGCAGCAACAAAGACCCAATGCAGCCAATAAATAAATAAATAAAAATTTTTAAAAAAGAAATTTATTTTTTTTCATTTTAAAAAATTAAAAAAAAAGAAATTGGATTCTTTCTAGAATGAGTTCAAGAAGCACTGCATCATTTAAGATGGAGTTTCTACATAAATAGAAAAGGACGTAGTGGTGAGGCAAGCAGCCAGGGTGCTTTGGGAAGGTATTCTTAAAGGTTACAGACACACCATGAAGTACATGCAAAGAAGGGCAAAAGCATTAGGAAAAGGTGAGAAGGGAGGGTCACCCTTAGGAGCGGGCTCTCACCTAGGCTAACAGAAATTGTCTGATGGGAAAAGAGATCTTTGAAAACAAGACAAAACACACACACACACACACACACACACACACACACACACAGTTGCCTCATTTGTCCCAGAAGTAAGACTCTTAAGAGTCTTTTCCAAGAAATCTTACTGCCAGATCTCAGTGAAATTACCTGGGTACTAATACTGGAGCTGCATCCAGCATGCCTAGTAGCAAATTAGTAATTTTAACAAGTGTTACAGCTCTACAAAGGAAAAGAACTATATCAATATCATATGTCAATGACATTATTTCAAACACAACTACACATTTATACAAATTTGTTTTTATTTACTTCCAACCCCATGACCCAGTCATTTCACATTAAGACTGAAAAAACAAGACAAGAAAACCAGGAATAAAAAGTGAAATTTTTGTATTATATCCAAGTATTTGTCTTTTCTGATTATATAAGAGAAAACGAGTATTAGGAAATCTAACTTCAAAAGAGAAATTCAAAATGCTTCCAAAGAGAATCAGAGACTGTTAAGCCAAAAACCAGTGATCCAATGTGTCTGATTCCATGGTGTTTAAATCCCAGGTCTCAGCCTTCTGCTGTCCCTCACTCCAAACAGAACTGAAGTGCACTTGAGACCACTGACACCCAGAGCCGCTCCCCCTCTGCCAACGCAATGCCTGCTCAGTTTTCTTCTTCTAAAGATTTCTAAGCTGAAGTTTCTCTTCTCACACACTGTCATATAAAATAGGGATTTCTGCTTCATCCCCTCCCTGCCATCATACCAAAAAATAAATAAATGCAAATTTGAAAAGATTAAATGTAACTGTCTTTTAAAACCCAGGTAAAGCAAGGTATGACTGAATTAGCCCTAAAGGGACTGGAAATTTTTAAACAGGGAAAAATAAACACACAAAAACAGTGCTTCCCCAAAACACTGAAACCCACAGACACAGTGACAACTTTCTAAACTGAAACGTCTGGACTTTGGAAGGAGTGCCATGTTTCCCAAAACCAGCTTCTAGAAATCCTAACATGGATTCAGAAAAACTCCTAACAAAATGAGCCAACAGTCGGGAAGACGGTATTGAGCAAGGGAAATGAGTGATTCAATTTGCAAACATATCAACAGAAAAGGTGACACACTGGGGAGAAAGGGTCAAGAAAAGCTCATGCCCCATCATGAACCTTCCAAGCTGCTGAATTTCACAGGTTCTGATGCTTAATTTTTAAAAAACTGAAACTTACTAAAGATCAGTAACAAGGAGCAAAGCTGTCTTCCTGCCTGAGTGTGTGTATATGTGGCGGGGGGGAGGGAGGTAGGAAGAAATCAACATGGCATGCTATAAAGCAACTGAAATATACAGAAAAAACTGCATTTGGCCTCGCTTAGGAGGCCAAGGAATAGCTAAACACCTCTTTCAAAGCCAGCTCAAGTCACGTGTCATCAACTCAATCCCTAGAGAAGATTAGGTCAGCAAGGGCCTGACTATCCCACCAGCTGGTTTTACTACATGCCTTTCACATTTTCCAGCAATAGGCATATCTTGAAAAACTTTGCCTTCTTGCCTTTCCCAGTTGCCCAAATAAAGTAGCTCTCTACTTTAAGAAACTTGCAAAGACTTCATTCATTATCACCTCTGGCACCAGAAATGGGAACTGCTTATTAGTAAACAGAGTTTGTAAGTGCAATCGCTGCTTCTGTGGGTTTCTACAGCTCAAGTTGGCTTTGGAAGCTCCTAAAGGGTCCCCTGTCTTCACCCACCCCATCTACGCAGTAGCAGACTACCCCCATGTGCTCTACAAAGGCAACGAGACAATTTCTAGCTGATCCTTAGGGTGGAACCTGCTTCTTGGTGATATCAGGTTTAAAAGAGAAAAGAAAAAAAAGATATCTTATTCTACTGGGTTGGTGAAAGGGAAAACACCAACACAAAACCCCTTTCAGTCACTGTTAATCCTGCACAGCTGAGTTCACAGCTGAGTTCAGAAGTCTGATTGCTCTAACCAGCCCATGTCCTGATTGTTCAGTCACAGGAAGAACAGGTTCTCACACAGCTGGATGGCTGGTTCATGATGCAAGATTTGTCCTGACAGGAAAGCTAGCTTGTGGGCATACTTGCAAGGAGCTGGAACTCTAATGGTACCAGGCCAATTCCAGTACATGTGGCACAGTTTGAAAGTCAACCTGTAGGCCAAGAAGAAAACATGATCCTTTTCACTTTTCATCTTCAATTTGGAGCACATTATGTACTTCTGGATGTGTGACACAGCATACTTACCAGCAAACCGAGGACTGAGGAATATATGATGCAACTTTTGGGAATCGTTATTTTTAAGTGGAATTGTATCTATTACCACTATTTGCAAGTCAAGAGGGCATGGGGAAATTCCCACTTTAGGTGCTCCTCTTTTTATATCAAAACAAGGAAAACAGCAAGGAGAACATGCTTTTGTTTTTTGCCTCAAGAAAAAGCTGCAGAAAGGTAAGCACCCCAGCAAAGTATTTATATAATCTGAGCGCAAGAGCAATGCATCTCAAACCTGGCTGTGTGTCATTAGAAGCAGTTTTTAAAAATGCGAATGCCTCAGAATGCTTGGAGTTCGTGAAGCCTGGGTGTATTTTTTGAAAGGTCTCCAAGTAATTTTAGTGTACAAGGATTATCAGTCGCACCTCAAAAGGATACCATTATCATGAAAGGCAAGAAGAAACTCAAGGGGTAAATATTCCTGGCAGTGGGCAGTATTTGTCTTTTCTGATTATATAAGAGAAAATGAGTATTAGGAAATCCAACTTCAAAAGATAAATTCAAAATGCTTCCAAAGAGAATCAGAAAATTATTAAGCCAAAAACCAGTGATCCAGTTTGTCTAATTCAGTGGTTTAAAAATTCCAGATCTTAGCCTTAGCTCCCTGGCCGGAATTATTTACAGGTGAGGAGTAGGTTACTGGTCAGCTCACCTCTGCATATGATCAGGGCTCAGGTTTGCAGTGTTGAGAACACAAACATAATGGGTAGGAATGCCACAACCCTGTCGTACATGATGGGCAAGAAGGTAGAAGTCCACCCTAGAAAGGAAAAAGTACAAAGTAATGGTATAGTTGGATTTGGCCAGAGCTGGAAAAGATCTTGGAGATCATTCTAGCTCCTTCACCTAAGGCTCAGAGAGGTCAAATTACTAGATCAAGGACATACAAGGACCAAACCAGGCTGAGAATTCAGGTCTCCTGACTCAAGAGGCTATTTAAGAATGGTAGTAGAAATGACATCTGTGTGCAGAAGGTTAAGCATGCATAGTCTTAGGAAAAGACTGTATGTTCAATATTATATACTTGAGGTAACAGCTTCATTGTTGGTTCATGTGTTCTTAAATAGTTTTTAAAATTTTACTTTTTAACAGTAAAATCTCTGATTCCATTCCACATCTCTCTAGGCAACCTCCCCATTCCAATACCCAGGGAACAGATAACTTCTCCAACCTATTCTTGTTGAAATACTGTGTCTCGCCCACTTACCACTCACAGCTTGTTACTGTATGATCTACCACAGTTCCGGCGGAGGGAGTCACAAAGTGCTCAGTAGCAGACAGGTACACACTGGTGCTGATTTTCTTCTGAACTACAAATACCACCATCTTGGGATGATAATTCTCAAAAGCTTCAAAACACTTCTGTAGCTGAGGAATCTCATAGCTGGCAACTGTCTTTAGTTGGCCATCAGACACTCCATCACGGTACACCACAATCTTCTCTGGGAGACAGTGGTTCACCTGAAACAACACCCTGCTGAGGTGAACTGTGTGGCCCTGGGGCTAATGACCACAGGCAGAGAAAGGCTCACTCAGCGAACAACCTGGAGACACGGCAGTAGGTCCCTTTCACAGCTGGGCCCAAAGCCATCATGTTGGAAGGGCAGGGAGAAGCAGCTTCTAGTCATTTCTAGACTTCCTCAGAGTAGTAAAACAGGTCTGGTACACCAAAGGTGTTATAAAATATGCAACCAAATAAGCAAGCTCTGAGTCACATATATACGGCTTATATGGAAACGGTGTGAAAAAAAGTTAAAAGGAAGGAAAATTATGGGCTGAATCAATCTTCCTACTACTTGGATTTAACACTAATTACCTGTCTAGGCAAAAAACAAGGTGAACTGCTGCAGAAATTCTAACATATAACTGCACATCCCACAGATCCACCATCCTCACGTTTCTGTGTATCAGCAACATCCAAAGTTGCTGACAAATGAAAGGGGATCCTTTATTAAATATTATCCTACCATCAGGTATAGTGTGAAACATTCCTTTTTTTTTTTTTTAACATTCTTAATATAACTAAGTAAACAGCAGTCCTGGTAAATTGTCCATGGATCCAAATCAAATTAAATGCTGGCTTGAATCAGTTTTGAAAAATAATTTTTCCCCATTTACAGAATATAATTATGTTCTAGTTGTATGTGACTTCAATAATTTTAAAAAATAAGCTGTTTCATTTTAAACTAGAAGTTTTCTTTAAAGTGCTTTGGTTTAGGGACTTCCCTGGCGGTCCAGTGGTTAGGACTCCATGCTTCCACTGCAGGGGGCACGGGTTTGATCCCTAGTTGGTGAACTAAGATCCCACATGCCACGTGGCATGGCCAAAGAAATACATAAATAAATAAAGGGCTTTGGTTTAATTCAGTTAGTGACAGTTTGATTCTGATTTTGGTTCATCCTAGGTTTTTGTTCACAATTCCCCTCAAAACCCTAATTTATCATTGAATTAGATAGGCTTATACTACATATTCTTTATAGGTTACTCTACATGAAAATTTAAGTTTCATTTCAAAGAACACTTTTTAATAATAAATAATCACTTAGCATCTTTTTGGAGTTTAAGTTTAAAATTCAAATATTTTATAAATGTCTCTTTTTTCTGAGACCCCCGCAAGTACTGTATTTACACACGTGATTCATCTTCACATTCCAAGACTGGAATTATTGCCCCAGTTGTACTTTTTGTCTTTATGTTGTTTTTGGCTGTCTAGCACCTATTCCACCTCTTTTGGGTAAGAGCATTTTAAGTGTCCTCCTGCCTCCAACAGGGTACATTGGAATTCGTGCGATTATTAATCAAGGTACCTTCCCCTAATCCAGGGCTTCTCAACCTCAACACTACTGACATGTAGGGCCAGTGAATTCTTTTTATTGGGGGCTGACACTAGAGGATGTTTAGCAGCATTCCTGGCCTCTACCCACTAGATGCCAGTAGCAATCTCTCTCAGTTATAACCAAAAATGTCTCTAGGCTGCCTACTGTGGGAACAAAACTGCCCCAGAAGAACACTCCTCCCTCACTCTGACTCTTCGACAGAGAATAAGAAACACTTGGAGTTTTTCCCTTTGTGGTGGTGCTTCTTCAGGTCCCTGCTTCTGGAACCCTATCCATTTCCCAGCTTGACGCTCAACCTTCTCAACCTTCTCAACGCTCAACCTTCTCTTGATGCTCAATCCTCTGAGACTCTCCATGATCTTACCAATTAATCCCCATTTTGCTAAAGTTAGCACGTTTCTGTGACTTCCCAAAGACCCCTAACTGATATGTTGTGTAAAAGGGTGGGTAACAAAGGCACTTAGACCTGGAAGAAAACCTGATTTCACAGATGAAGAAACAGAGAAGAATTACACTGGGTCTGGGGTCAGGGGACCTGGGACTGAGTCTGAATGTGCTGCTGCTCCCCAGCTATGCTCCTGAAGACTCAGCTTCCTCACTTGAAAAATGGATGTAAATGAGCACCTTACTTTTCTTCTTCTCAGAGTTAAGAGGGATAAAGTGTGTGTATATACGTACATACTTTTTTTAAGCTACACACAAAAGTTGAGAACAAACTAGATCAAGGAAATACAGATATTCTGAAGCACAGGGAAGGGATCTAACAAGATCAATGGAGTGAAAAATAGAATCAAATTCGTCTGAAGTATTCACTGATATTACCTCTTTCTTTAAAATCTGCTAACCAACTATACTGAGTGTGAGACATTATACTTGGCCCTGTGTAAGATTCCAGTAGAAGTGAAAGGCATGATTCCTGTTATTAAGGAGCTTTCAAATCTAATAATAACAGTCAACAATGGTAACTTCTCTAGGTCATCTAGTCCATTCTCCTCATTTCATAAACAATAAGACTATGATCTAGGGGGGTCAAAATATGAGACAAATCACAATACTGAAACATAAACGTTAAATATACATTATTAAATCACTTCAGTACTAGGGTAAATACATGAAACAATAAATTAATGAAAGCAGGACTGTGCTTGTTGGCTTACTATCCCTAGCACTGAATACAACGGTGAGGATCAAGCAGAAAATAAGTATCTGCTGGAAGTCTGAGATGTTCTTTTATGTGTGATTCCATTCATTCACTGAACAAACACTTAATGACCACTAGATATGAGCCACTGTGCTAGCCTCAGAAAATTTAAAAATTATCTTGATACCTTCCAAATATTAGTGGAACTCAAATTAACTCTGGGCAGACAGACACAAAGTAAATACTCTCAATACATTACAAATAACATAACAAAGAATATAAATAAAATGCTATGGGAACAGAGAAGTATAAGACATTTGTTCTCTAGAGGAAAAAGTGAATATTATGCCTCAGTGAAAGAACTAGCAGACAATTCAGTCAGCAAGACAGGTAAAGGATTCCAGGTAGCACTGCAATGTACTGAATACTACAACATGGGTCAACTCTGAAGACATTATGCTAAGTGAAATAAACCAGTCACAAAAAGACAAATACAGTATGATTCCACGTGTATGAGATACTCAGGGTAGTCAAAATCAGAGGCAGGAAGTAGAAGGGTGGCGGCAACCGGCTAGGGGGAGGGCAGCATGGGGAATTAGTTTTATGGGGACAGAGCTTCAGTTTTACAAGATAAAAAAAGAGTTATGGAGATGGATGATGATGATGACTGCCCAACATTCTGAATGTATTTAATACCACTGAAATGTTATACTTAAAAATGGTTAAGATGGTAAATTTTATGTTATGTGTATTTTACTCAATTAAAAAAATGGGGGGAAAAAAAGGATGAAGAGGCCAGGCAAGCTACTAGAAGTGGCAGGTGCAGAAAGGGCAGGCTGAGGTCTGGAAGAGTCCCCAAATAATCACTTGCTCAAGATAATTCTCCACCCTAAGATCCTCCCAATTGTGCTAAGAAAAGGGAAGTGGAGGAACTGAAAAGCAGAAAGAACCTATACTCTCACACATTGTAAACTGGCTGCCTGAAGCTTTTGATTCCAAAGGCAATACCGTGGCCTACTCCCTTCTGTCTCCAGGGTCGAACACTAGTCAGACCAGTCCAGCAATGTGAAGTCAGAGCCAGAGCCAGAGCCACAGGAGGAGCAAAAGGGGCTGAATTAACTACAGCTGAGTTTAATCTTCTCAAAGCTCAGGCCAAATAACAGATGAACTCAACATTAAGTGATTACTAATCATGAGAGCTAAAGCTAAGGCAAGTGTCAAGAATGTAGCTTGGTTTTGATTTTCACACATGAGTGGAAGGCAACACTGGCACTCAGACTCACATGTGGTCTAGGAGCTCAGATGAAGGGTATGGGCCAGAGAGTGATTCTCAATGTGTGCTCTGGGCTCCAATTCTTCCCCTTAGATGTTTTAGGGAGTGCACAGAGTCAAAACTAATTTCACAATACTACTACTATATTACTTGCCATTTTCACTCTAATTCGCTCATAAATATCCAGTAGAATTTTCCAGAAAGTAAATGATGTGTGACACTGCAATAAATTAAATGTAGGATATTCACTTGCCTTTTACTAACCCAAACATTAAAGCCATTCGCCAAAATGTAAAACATCACCGAACATTTTGAAAGTAATCTTTAATTTAAAATGTTATTTATGGGACTTCCCTGGTGGCACAGTGGTTAAGAACCCGCCTGCCAATGCAGAGAACATGAGTTCGAGCCCTGGTCCGGGAAGATCCCACATGCTGCGGAGCAACTAAGCCAGTGCGCCACAACCACTGAGCCTGCGCTCTAGAGCCCGTGAGCCACAACTACTGAGCTCACGTGCCACAAAAACTGAAGCCCGTGTGCCTAGAGCCCATGTTCTGCAACGAGAAGCCACTGCAACAAGAAGCCCGCACACCGCAATGAGAAGCCCACGCACCACAACGAAGAGTAGCCCCCACTCGCCGCAACTAGAGAAAGCCCGCGCGCAGCATCGAAGACCCAACGCAGCCAAAAATAAATTAATTAATTAATTAAAATAAAAAATAAAATAAATGTTATTTGTTATTAACTATATTGAGCTTATTATTTTAAAGTAAATTAAAAAACATTAAAAAGTTCTCAGTTTTAACTTCTAATATGGTAATTATTGATATATACCTATACAAACAAAACACTCAATAATATTTAAGAAGGTAAAGATTTCCTTAGACCAGAAAATTTGAGAACTGCTGGACCAGAAATATAAATCTAAATACAGATATTAAATAAAACCACAGATGAGATTAAGCTTGCCAACAAGGCTTCAGGTGGTGGACCAGGATTTCTAAGAAACCCTGCCACTGAGGACAACTGGAAAAGCTGGACAAAATATAAAAACATCTACCTGAAGGCAGTATCAGAGGAAGGATGGGGGCCCAGAGAAATAAGCCAGCCTTTCGAACCTGTTTTTCCCCGGCAGCATGTGTTGATTTTGCTGATTCCACAAGGGTACGTAAGCTAGACGGATGTTTGGGAGTGGTGCTTTTTTTTAAA